AGTTATTTATTAAATTCATCGGTGAGATATATTTGTATTGGTGTTATTTTAAACATTAAACCTTTAAATACCTATCATTTAGGAGTACGCTCTATATGATTGGGTATGGTATTGTTTCGAGTATAGTTACTTATGTGATTAAGTCTCGGTGCGTTAGGCCTAGATAATGCATCATTAAAGAATATTTTCCTTTTTTAAAGATCAACCACCTCGAGTTCATTATTAGTGAATTTCCAAGTTGTAAGTAATAATTAAAAAAAAAACTCTGTTGGACCCCTTAGGCTTTATCAAACATTGGCATAGAAAGGGAAACGAAAACGCCCACAGATTTGCAAAAAAAAAGCTATAAGCACTTGTTCTTTTTTTTTAATGTAAAACCCGAGCAGCAAAACGTAAAATATGCAAATTCAAGCACCAATCCACAGTGTTCCATTTGGCTCAAGAAGGCAGAGTCAACTATAAGAACCGTTAAAGTTGACCAAACAATGCACTTTTAACAACAGTTGAGCTTACACTGTGCTCATTCCTACTGAGTAGGCTTTAAAAAAAGTAGATGTGGAACCAGTCACCAGCTATTAAATATATTAAAGAAGATGACTAAGACATCGCCAAGAAAGTATAGCTGAAAACCTAGTTTGGATTTATAATTCATTCTTATCCCATTCAATTTCCTTAGCGATCATCCTTATAACAGCATTGTGGAGTTGTCTTTGTTAAACACAGGAATACAACTGTTACGTCTCTGTGTTCCTTTGTTAATTTTCCGTATAATTTATTTCCGAGAAACTTCAGCGATACAAGTCTTTTCTTAAATAAAACTAGTTTATTCTTTCTCAATACAACTTTGCAATACACTTAATTTCCACAGCCACTTTCAATTAAACACACGCTATAATTCACAACGAACGATTCACGCGCTTTACTTACGTCACTACCGCGCTTGACTCAATTGTCTGTCTCTATATCTGCCTGTCTGCAATTCAATTCGATTAACTGTCTGGCGCACTTATATACAAGAATAGAGGGAGCCTAGCAAATACTGGATTATTCGTGATGTTCCCCGATCTTTCTAGAACTCATTACGTGTTACCAGCGTCACGTGACTTCAGCTGTCGTAACACAACTATACATACGAGTGGACTTCATAAACGATAGAGAACCTATGCTCGTTGTTGTTCAAGTTTCAATTCAACCTGAAACAGCTTGCCAGCCATTTACACATAGACGGTAAAACTGGCATTACTACTAATTTACTTTCATTTTGAGTATTTGTACATATCTGTGGAAGGATGTTACTGGACGTCATTTTCACACCAGTGATACATCTGTACGTCAGTTATTGTCATGTTATTATTGACAGGTTTATAATGCTTATTTTCAAGTTTCAAAAATCAACATGTAACATGTTTGCACATTTAGTTCAATGACATCATGCTTACTGCCAGTTAATTATACATATCAATTTTATTTTTGAGGTTTATTTATTCGGGAATATATTATATTTTACCGAAATATCCACATTGTCGAGATCATATTGCTACTCACTGTCTGGATTGACTGCCACTAGAGTTTGTTCTTTCATTTTTTGCTTCACAAAGACTGATTGTCTACATTGTGGTTGAAGTTGATCGTACTATCATCTAACCCTTTATTCAACCGATCTTGCGAGGCTTAATTAACATCAATGAGAAAACTGTAAAGGAACTGTCACTGTGAGTTAATTATAAATATGTATTTGCCAGCGACTTGTAAGTGTATCATATCTTGTTAAACAAAATTTAAATACCACATGCTAGTCATGACAAGTCCCTTTTTTTTTAAGAAATCCATATTTTAACGAGTCCATTCTAAATAGTTACTTCATGGGTAAGAAAATGATTTACCATATTTATACCCCCCTTTTTAATCTTTCAAAAAACGATAAATGAAGAACTTTGTCTCAGATAAAAAGAAACAAACCTCTATCCCTACTAATCCTGAACCAGCGGCAACGTCGAGAATCTGAATATCTTTTGGTAGATGTAAATCTTCAACTACGTCAGCCATTATTTTGGGAGCATTGTATTTCAGTTCCATACAGTGCTGTGTCAAAACAAAAATGGGAAAATTTGTCAAGTAAATATCATAATAAAGAAACACAAAATTGATATCTTTCCAATTAATTTTACGTCAGCTTTACAAAAACTTTACATAATGTTAGTGCTAAAGTAGCAATACTGAATCATGAAACTCAAGATTTTGATCAAGTGCTCATAGAAATTTTACATTAAGCATGCATCGTGTTGATGTGAAAATAGCAATAATGAATCATAAAACTGAAAATGTATTTAATATTTTCATATAAAATGTGAAAATAGAAAACAGAAAAACATTGAAAAGCTGAGTCATCTCATATTCTTCACAATTGAGATCGACACCAGCATCCATTAAAGGTCCAGTTCCAATTCTAACATTATGCTTGTCGTTAGAAGTCCTTGCTATTAGTTTGAACATTCTCATTCAGCTCTTTCTCACAAGTCCTTTCGATTTTCTAATCTATTTTAATTCATATTCCAAGCCTACCTATAGTCCTGTAAATCGTTTACCTGTACTTCAGCTTAAACTGGTAACACTTATAATTAATTTTCTCTTTTATGTCTTCAATAAATAATTAGGTTTAATCTTCGCTACTATCCTTATTCTCTCTCTTATTTTAGGAACATATCTATTCTAAAATAATAGCAATTTATTTAAAAAAGAAATCTTTCCCACACCACATTTTATCTTGTTGTTGTAAGCCACTAATGATATAATCTTATTTGTGCCATCAAGGTTGACTTTCTTAAAATTACGAACTAAAATTTAATATTATATCAATATGTAACAAAACATCGAACGTAATAATAAATATTCCCCAAATGCCCCTCCCCATTTCAACTCTTTTATTATATTCTCGTTAGTGGTTAACAATAAATCTAAATGGCATCTATCATGATTGGCTTTCTGTCCATTTGGAATAGAGCACCATCCTGAATCCCTTCACAAATTCTAATATTTTACTCCCTGTAATCCCAATCAATGTGTCTAAAATAAAAGTATCCCAGCATTGTTCTTAGTAGTAGCCATTGGACAGTTTCTCATTGACCTCATCTGTCTGGTCAGTTGGTCTATAACAGATGCCAATGGAAAACTTTCTACCTTTCAAATTGCTGATTGTAACCCATGCAGATTTAGTATCTTCTCTACTATTTTCAGTCTTTAATCCTAAAAGGTTGCTGTTCACCCCTTACATAAAAAGCCATTCCATCCCATCTCTTGAAAATTTATTAAATAAGTTATAATCTGGAATATCAAAATAATTCCTATTGTCAATATTCTCCAAATCTAATGAAGTTTCAGTAAATATCATAGTCTTCCATTTCAACTATAACCCTAAGATGGTCTGTTTCATTCCTAACACTCACACAAGAATAATAAATTGTACCACTGTCTTCCCAAACGTGTTAAAAGCAGTGTTGAATTCAGGGGGTGTACAGGGGAATATTTCCCCTGTACAAAAAATCCCCCCTAAAGTACAGGATTTTTTTCCATCCTGTCGAATTTTAATTTTAATTCATCCCCCTCCCAGCTTCACCCCCCCTCTCAGGTGGAAAGGTTTGAATTCAACACAAATATACCAGCGTCAAAACAGACAGAAGGAAAGAAATATCATAAAAAAACTTTATGATGAGCTTATTAAACGACTAGTAAACTTAAATGATGTGTCTTCTTGCAACTCTGTTAATCCGATACAAAAACATATCAAATATCTCGAATCCTTATGATTCATTATATCGGAGTAACGATTGCGTCTTCTTATACTACGTTTAATAAACATTATAAAAGTTCCTATCTTGAGCATTAATGGACAGTGTGAACATAGATGAAACTTTTCAAGTTTTTGACAAACACAACAGCTCTGACAGTAAAGACATTCTATGTGGACGACAGTCCAGAAGGTAGACGGACGACGTAAAGCTGCACGTGTTCTGATGAGAACTCGATGATGAACAAGTTTTGTTGAAATGAACATCAATGTAAGTTTAAAAATACTCTAGATACCATCGATTTATTACTTAATTGAAGCTTATGTGAAGGTTTCAATTTAACGTATGTAAATCAGTTTTTAATAACTACTTTGCGTCTTACAGCCTAACGCATTTAGTTGTTCTAACGTAAATGGAAATATTAGAGATTTATACTGGCCAAAACGTGACTTTACAATACGGTGTTTGCCTGATTAGTACGGTACAGTACTTGCCCATCTATTCTGCACTAAGAAAAGAAACCGTTGGCTGTTCAGTATATTTGAAAATGTTACAATTGTACTATGGGTATTATTTCGTTGCCTGCAAGAATATATTACGGTTCGTGGAATTAATGCCTATTTGTGATCCAAAGGGGTTCGTTCGCACCCTCCAATCCAGCCCTGATTATACGTAATGAAACACAGATTACTATAGTGACATTAGACTATTATGAACATCTTAATTACTTCCTCATAGTAAGTTGTGGTGTTATGCTAAACAGAAATACAAAGTTAATATTTTTTTTTATTATTTACGTATTTAGAAGTGTTCTTGCTCTGTAGAACATCAGGGGAAACTGTGAAACGTAACGTAAATTGAATATACTTTAAAAAAAGCAATAATTATTTCCAGAACAAGTGATGTTTACGCAAGTTATACATAGATATTTATTTTACTGTTTTATAATATGAATAATACAATTAGTTGTGGTTTGTTTTTTCATCACATGTTCTACTAAAATATAACATTTTTACAGTTTGCAAGATCTTTCTATTACATTTTTCTGGTTAATTCTGAGCATATTTTCATGCACTTAATCATAAATACTTACCCTATTTATGTAGTGAAAGGTGAATACTTATATAAATATATATATAATTTATACGGTTACAAAAGTATTTAATAAGGGAATAATGTAAAAACGTAATAACATACGACAATGTTAAACAGTAATTTATTTATGATGTGGTTGTAAATATATAAAAACTATTAACTTCCATACTGTATCTAAGTCTTTTGCCCAGTTCTTGTAGATTTGCATGGTTTCGTGGCATGAACGCTCCTTTACAATATTATGCACGGCATTAGAAGCGACGATATGTGCCATTTTCTTTTGGAAGAGCTGGAGCAGGCTGTAATTCTAATAATGAAAAATTTATGGTTACACAAAAACTGTCAAACTCTGAATTACACATGAGTACACAATAAATGGCCAAATCTATAAATTACACATTGTTACACAATAAATGATCAACTTTGTAAATTAGATATGGTACACAATAAATGATCAACTCTGTGAATTAAATATGGTACACAATAAATGATCAACTCTGTGAATTAGATATGGTACACAATAAATGATCAACTTTGTAAATTAGATATGGTACACAATAAATGATCAACTTTGTGAATTAGATATGGTACACAATAAATGATCAACTCTGTGAATTAGATATGGTACACAATAAATGACCAACTTTGTAAATTAGATATGGTACACAATAAATGACCAACTTTGTGAATTATATATGGTACACAATGAATGACCAACTCTGTGAATTAAATATGGTACACAATAAATGTCCAACTCTGTAAATTAGATATGGTACACAATAAATGACCAACTTTGTGAATTAAATATGGTACACAATAAATGACCAACTTTGAATTGGATATGGTACACAATGAATGACCAACTCTGTGAATTAAATATGGTACACAATAAATGACCAACTCTGTAAATTAGATATGGTACACAATAAATGACCAACTTTGTGAATTATATATAGTACACAATAAATGACCAACTCTGAATTGGATGTGGTACACAATAAATGACCAACTCTGTAAATTAGATCTTTTACGTAAGTGTTAGTGAGAAAACAGGGAATAATTAAACATTTTGATATATCTCAGAAAAACTGTTATTGTAACCATACAAACAAAATACTCAAACATGAAAAGCATACCGTGTGTATTAATAGTAAACCACAACAGTTATACTGCACCTCCAATATTGTTGCCAATGGTAACAAGAGTGTATACGTACCTACTTAACAGTTGAGATCAGCAGACTAATAAGAACATTTTCAATGGCGAGTGTCCTCTTTTTTTTTTCCCTTCCACCCTGTTGGGTTTATTCCATTCTGACATGGAAAATTCCTGTTTCGTAGTTTTGATATACACGAGCCACGTGACATAGATATCCTCATACGGGTCAAGAATCATAGAAAAACAGAGTTACGGTTATTACAGATATAAATATATTGTAGATCAGGAATTATGTATTAAATAATAATCATACAAACTATTTCACAGTATTACTTATGCCAGTAAGTGCCGCAAACAGAATATTTCAGGAGGCAGATTTACCACGTTTCATTTTCGTTATATAAAAGGAGCTATATAGCATAGAACACATTCGCGTGGTTTGTTTGTTGTTAAGCACAAAGCTACACAATGGGCTATCTGTGCTCTGTCCACTACGGGTATCGAAACTCGGATTCTAGCGTTATAAGTCTGCAGACATACCGCTGTGCCATTCGGGGGGGGGGGGGGTCGAGCAAATATTTTCTCATTCAAATTGATTGGCTAAAGAAAATATTGAAAATATAAACTGCACGATTACGTTCTTTAAATAATGCGCCCCCCAGTGATACAGCGGTATGTCTGCGGACTTGCAATGCTAGCATCCGGGTTTCGATACCCGTGGTGGGCAGAGCACAGATAGCCCATTGTGTAGCTTTGTGCTTAATTACAAACAAACAACCAATTAAATAATGCAAATGTAAGGACAATAATCAGTTATATTCGTTAGGATACAATAATAATAGAAGTAATCACACCATAACAATTGTGAAATATAATGTTTGCTTCTCTTAATTTTGCATTTTCTTTAGCTTCAGAAGATACGAACTTTGTGCTATTAAAAACTGTTCAACTGGCTTTTAGTGGTATCATGCTGTTTGTTCATATTTTATTAATTTAACATACATTTATTCCTGACAATTTACCCTAAAATGTAATACATACATTTATTCCTGATAATTTACCCTAAAATGTAATACATACATATACTTCTGTCACTTTACACAATATAAACCCTAGCGTCAAAAATAAGCTTCTGTATTAATCGTATTAAAGTTTTATAGATTGTTAGAGTGTTTCATTAAGATCCACCTTTATACAAAGGATGACAACAAATCTACACAAATCAGCTGCAGAAAAATGTGACGTTTAATATGTATGACCGGCTTCGCAGTTTTATTGAGAGGCAGAATGAATTACCACAGGTCCTCTATTAAAAATAAACCCTAAACTTTTTTTCTATCAACACTTTTACTCTCCAAGACATACTTTTGAATATTTTCGCGTACAGGGAAAATATTCAAATAATTTACGTGCTAATCTAGCAGAAAGAGAAGACTACCGGATCAAAACCCTAGTTACAGTTTTGCTCTATGAGCTTAACGGCCGAGTTAAAAATAAAGTGATATTTCTCATGGCCACCAATTTTTAAATAGTCCATATTTTTCCTCAAACAGTTCTTGCACTTCGGCCACGCAGTCACTAGCGCAAACACAGAACAAACAAGGCTAAAGTTCAGAATAGTTTATTGCAAAACCTTTTAGAAGTCTATCAAACAAAAGGTCTCAGACGTATGCAAGTTATCTTGTGAGGCTTAACAAACTTACTTTTATTCAATCGAACGTAAATACACTTATCAAGTTTGGTAAACGATGCAGACTAGCTATGATATCCTGCTTGTCATCACTTAAACAACAACTAATAAACGTAAGGACACGGATTGACTTATAGTTCCATTTATTGCGAGAAGTATAGAATTAATTAACGTAGAATCGATCGTCACAAACACTTCTGTACAACGACAGCTAACAGAATTACAACCGACTCTCAAGTTATACCCCTATCAATAACTCAGTAAATTGCATGATATACCACCAATAAATTAGCACCCAGTTATTACACGTAAACCTCTTCTATCAATAAACAAATTATAGAATTTTCACAACTAGCCGCCATTCCACCACCCCAGGAAAAACATATATCTCACCGATGAATTTAATCTTTTTATATCACTAGTAATGAAAGCGAGGTATGAGTAATGTTGCTTAAATATCACATGACTTACGACAGATTCATATTGTGGCCACCAGAGGGAGAGACAGTTTCTTATTATTCAACCAGATGTTCAAATAGTTCTTATACCGTCATTGGATGATATAATGTGATAATTACGCGATATTTATTGTAATAGATAATAGTGTACTTTGTTTATAATACTGTTACGTCTCCGTTTGTTAATTGATTTTCCGTAACTTCGTTCCAACGGGGAATAGTGTGTGTGTAGGTAGTGAGTAATTGATCTGCAGTGAGAAAGTATTGTTGAAGTAGAGCTCGTGAGACGTGAACTATAGTTTGTTATAGCGCGACTGTTGAAGTTGAGTGTATCGTAAAGTTGTATTCGGAAAGAATAAACCAGTTTTATTAAGTAAGGACTTGTGTCGCTAAAGTTTCGTCACGTTGTCACCCTCTTTTATATACCAGACAACCCTATATCTAATAAATGCTAGAGCATTCTCCAAGGTACAGGATAGTTTTAGAAACGTGGCGTCACACTAGTCATGTGACTTCGCTTACGCAACAATAGTATTGGTTTGTGTTTAACATATTGTTGCGTCAGCAAAGTCACATGACTAGTGTGACGCCACGTTTCTAGAACTATCCTGTACCTTGGCGAATGCTCTAGCATTTAATAGATATAGGGTAGTCTGGTATATAAAAGAGGGTGACAACGTGACGGGGATAATGTGTGTGTAGATAGTGAGTAATTGAACTGCAGTCAGAAGTATTGTGGACGTTCGTTGATATAGCGTTTGTTTTAGCGCGATTGTTGAAAATAAGTGTATCGTGAAGTTATATTCAGGAAGAATAAACCAGTTTTCTTAAGTAAGGACTTGTGTCGCTAAAGTTTCGTCGGAACGAAGTTACGGAAAGTTAATTAACAAACGGAGACGTAACAAATTGGTGTCAAAGAGTGCGATAGAAAAAAAAAGAGAAGAAGATGGAAACGAGAGGCGGAAAATCAAACTACAGCTTAGCAGAT